ATCCTGTGTCTAATATAATAAATATTACGCAATTTATTATTCATAAAGTAAGCTATTCATCGACTTCAGAGAGAACAAGCTATCAATATAGTGTACTTTAAAATGAGGAAAGGTCGATATAATAGATACGCGTTTCACTTTTAGTCGATTATATCCGTCTTAGTCTTCCGCTTATTAATAATGTTGTATTAGTATTGTATTATTAACTCTCGATCCGTTAGTTTTGTAACATCCGAATAAAGTGCTTGTTGACCATAAGAGAAGTTAGATATTTGTCACAATAGATGTTTTACCAACTATTTAGTCTACACGCTTAACAAGATTTCAGATAAAATTGTAATGACACAATTTCCAATTTTTACTATAGTTGGCTAGCAATTTTAATTTTAGTAAAATGACAAGTTTGCAGTCCTTCTTTCTATACCAGAATTGTTGTCCATCTCCTGTATTTCGAACACCATACTTTCGTAGGATATTCTCTGACATACATCTATCAGACAAACATTAATATACACGTATATATTTTTTTAAACTTTATACTGTGTAACACCAGTGTAAGATAACGCGTTAAATTTAATCCAACGTGGCTCCTTGATTAACATCCGCAACTGCAAAAAGAACTTAACAAGGTGCTTAAGTTTGCTTATCATTGTAATTGCTGTTGTCATATTACTGTTTAAGAGAAAAAAAAAAGACTTGTGTAGCTTACAGTAAAAATCATTAGGTATAGACGGAAAATAAATCAAAAATTTACTTGATTGATATGTCGTTATTGGTGGCATTTTCGTTATATGATATGGCTACTGCAGAGAAAATAGTTCATGCTTGTACAATAAAGTTACAACAATGAGAAACTGGAAAGGTTGGCTATTGAAAATAAACCTCGTTTACCCAGTTAGAAGAAGTTAACTAAATAGTGTTTATCCTTTTTCAATTTGTGTATGTGTGTTTTTCCTGACGCATGTTAGTTCTCTTGTGGGGGAAAAAAACAGCTGGCCAGCAGTGATAACTTGAAAATCTGGCAATCATCCTAACTTATACAAATTAGTCTTTCTCAATCGAATTTGTAATATTAATGACATGTTTGCTATATTAATATTGGGTCACATGAACGACTAATGAAAAAATTAAGTGAAGTGATAAGTATCACGTGTCTTATTACATGACAAGGGTATTGATGAGGGCGTTTATAAATGAACAATTAAATATCGTAAATTGCCACTCAGATAATCGCGATTATCCTTCCTCGATATACGGATTAGCGATTTCTCAGATATACTAATTTAGAGAATAGGGTATCAATAATATATATGTTCAGAGTAAATGCGATACTCGTTTAACAATAATATTATGAAATAAAAGGAACTTGAGGAATCAAATTCACACTGCGAAAACACACCGATTCTAGCTGAGATCTATGCTTGCTTATATATCTTTTGAACGGACTAATTGATCTATTTTTAGCAGCTATTACTAATTCTCTAAGCTATTGTCTTCAGTATACGCTATTACTTTTACAGCGCTGCTGTACCACTGCCAGATCACTTCTTTTTCGTATCGCTTCTGAGTTACTTCTCGTATCACTTTTCGTACTACCGCAGCGATGTTCCATTGATTTTCGTGTGCCCATGATGCAAATTCTATCGTTGGTGTTACTGCCCGATCGGTCGGAGTTATTAGTATGTCATTTTCTTCAGTAGTAGCTGCAAATTAAAAATTTTTTTTTAAAACTAGAATCAATTAGCTTCAAAATGATGTAAATTTTATTGACATTTGCATAATAATAATAAAATGGTAACGATAAAAACGATATAAAGTATGCTAATTTTACTATATGAGCGACAAAGACTTTGGCAGGGAAGTGTGTATGTATTAATACGAGCCTAAGAGCTTACCATGAAATCGTCCGAATAATTATATTTCATGTAAACCGTTACCTCAAAAAATAATTCAAGCACTTTACTTCGCCCAAATTGCTCGATTCAAGATAATGAAAATTCTGACTAGTCAGAAACACAATTAAGGCCATGATCTCTTAATTTAGTCAATACGCTTGTTGGAGTCATCAATGGATAAATAGCCGTAGTCACGCGAAGGTTGATCTAGACCAGCCCACAATCGATGCATCCATTGTATACATTTTGTACGCTTTCGTGGGCGTACAGTTTCGGAATAAAGTTAATAATATAAATTAAATTTAATAACTTTAAGTACTAAAGTTGTATACAACCTGTAGCCATTATGCATTTAAACTTGTACTTCTTCACCGGTTATGCTGCTATTTCGATGGCTTTAAAGCGCATATATTGAGCAACCAACAAGTAGCCAATCGCGATTATGATGTGTAATATTAATTCCACACACGAAGAGTAACGAGATAGGGTCGTGTATATTACAATCGACACCTATTGCGGCCCTGTGTTACAGAGTTTAATTGAGACAAATATACGATGGTCCGGAGACGAAGATAGTTTGATTTTATTCTGCCATGGGAGGGAGGGGAACGGAATAGTGTTTTTTGCAATGTCAGACGCATCAAATACCCCGAGCATATCAGACAGATCAAGTACGGCTGATACAATCAATTCGCAAAACTCATCGAGTACATCATTAGAGGACCTAGTCCCGCGGCCAGATGATCGGACATTAAAAGTTGTCGCTCGAGCGAGCCAATATTTCGAGAACAAAAATTATAAGGCGGCATTAGGTTCCCATCCACAATGTTTACACTCCTTTTGCATTCTATACAGGAAGTGTTAAATAACATTGCATGTGCATTCATCTGTAGGCGAGTATACCAAAGCTCTCACTCTATCTCAACCTAATCTCAACCCTCTCGAAACTTCGGATTTCTCTGCATTACTCTTTTCCAGACGTAGTGCAACTTACTATTGCTGTCAGTTGTATAAGGATGCAGAGAAGGATGCAGCTCAAGTCATAAGGATAAGACCAGAATGGACTGAGGTTAGAACGGCGATTGAAATGTGTGGAGGTGGAGATGTGTGCGGGTCGTTGCCAATTGAATGCATAACGAACACCATTATTTTTTGATAGGGTTATTTTAGACGAGCCGAAGCGTTGTTGGAGATGGGCAAGTATGATGAAGCATTGGATGATTACGAGAGAGCTCGAGAAAAAGACCTAAAGAACCCTCGGATTCCGTTGAAAATAGCCAAAGTGATGATACTAAAAGATAACAAAGGAATGGGTATGTAAAAATGTTGCTATAATGAATGACGAATGATTTAATAATCGAAGCGTTTGCTTGCAGGTCTAGCCGTTCATCCTCTCCTTCCAGGAAGAGATATATGTGTTAACAGTAATGTGTTAGTTATGCCGGTTCAAGCAAAAATCTTTGACTGTGCGATAGAAATGAAGAATATAATATATGTTGTGGCAGACATGGAGACTCGACAATGTGTTGTCATTGACGCAGTGAGTGTAATTTCCAAAGGTTTTGTGAACGTTCATCATCATCGTTCCATTTTCTGATCAATTTTTTGTCGTGTTGAAGTGCTGGGATGTCGATGGCATTGCGAGGTTTATCAATCAGCATTCTTTTACTCTAATTGGGGCTATCCTCACCCATTATCATTTTGATCATGTGGGTGGGTACCCTCCGCCGCCATATGACTATATTCCTGTCAGAGTTCCTGGGTTGCACACACTGCTCAAACGATACCCCGATATCAGAGCCTATGTTCATCCTCGAGACCTTCCATATATTATTGAAGCCGATCCCTCGCTATCTTCCTACGAGTCCAGGATCATCCATACACACAGTCAGTATATTCTACAATTGGGCGCATCTACCTTGCTGAGGTTCATGCATACTCCAGGACATACGCCTGGCAGTCAAGTGATATTGGTGAATCAGACAAGATTGTTTACCGGGGATACTTTAATGGTTGGAAGTTTTGGAAGAGTAGATTTGCCGGGTGGTGATAGGAATGAAATGAACAAGACTCTTAATGAGAGATTAGCGAGATTTGAAGATGGAATAGTTGTATATCCCGGACATGACTACGACGGCGACTGGACGACAATAGGCATGGAGAGGGCTAGGGGAATAGTAGGGAAGATTATATTATAGTACTGATTAGTGTAATTGTAATAATAATGTATTCATACCCAACTTAAATTTCTGATCAGCAAATCACACCCATGAAAACAGTGTCCCTTGAATTTGTAACCATGTGGAGTCTCAACACTTGATTCTATCGATCTGAGCATTACACAGGCCAGGAATTCCGCGGACTAAAACGACATCCTTTCATTCACGTTTTTGACACGCTTTCAGTTATTGCTTGGAGTATAAATTAAATATCATCATTTTTTGTTACCTAGTTGTTCGTTCCCATCCCAATCAAGCAAGCAATGACAGTAATTTCTTGCATTGCGTTGATATGCTCCACATGATGTCCTCTCACTTCTTTACTCTCCTGTATCTAGTATATTCTGTCATTGTTAATTAGTCCCATAACTTGTCATATCTGCACATGCAAAGACAGGCTGTTAAGGTGCAATTTTCAAATTGGGCTGTGCAGCCGCCATTTAAATGTATTCTTATCTTTTGGGAATGCGAAAGGAATGAAGCTGCAGCTCAGTTGGAGCCAGAAGAACATCTCCAGTTATGTGAGGGAGCGTGTGAGGTTGAATGCTGTATAGATAACTATATGCTTTTCATCTAGGATGATTGGGATGCGTTTTTGGATTTAACGCGCTGTTTTCCTCTAAAGTGTTCCATGATCATTTTATCTGGATCTTCTTCGATTTAGCTGATCACTATGTCCTTTAAATTTAACTCGTTTGATTGACGTTGGTACCTTGAAAATGTCCAAGCTTGCATATAGAAACAATGGCAACTATCCCACGTACTTTTGCTCACATGATGTTTTGTTAATATCGGGAGAACAATGTGATTAGCCACGTGATTCACTTACAGTTAGTACGATCAAAAATGTGATGGTCGCGCGACGAGAATTCTTGAGATTTTCAACATGACAAAGTACGTATTCTTCACTTATGGTATTATTGAAGGCTATCAAAAGGGCATAATCGCTGCTTCTACGGCTCTACTCCTGCGAGCGCGGGGATTGAAAGTGACAGCTGCTAAAATTGAACCATATGTACAATTAGATGGGAAAAATCTTGATCCTGGTGAGGTTTTCTTTAATATTTCGGAAAGTCAGACCCCGAGCATATGAACAAAAGAGACTGTACTTGTTTAGATAATAAAAGTGAGCCATAGGAACGCGTCAAAGGCTAAAAAATAATAAATGTAGCTGAAACCGGAATTAAAATCTTATGTTATTAGGATACATTTTTGTCACAAGAGACGGTTGTGCGGTAGTCGAAGAAATAGGCAATTATGAACGATTTGTCGATGCGGGAGTGCCCGGATCGCATTACATAACCAGTGGGCAAGTCTTTCACGGACTCGTTGAGAAAGAGGTTTGCTTTTAATTCTTTCTGCTAGTTATAAACAAATTTCAACGATTAATTCCAATATTGGGCTTACAGCGTGCTGGAGGGTTCTTAGGACGATCAGTGACGTTAGTTGGGGATGGAACGGATCGAATGCAAGAACTCATTGAGGCTGCTGCAAAAGGAGCAGATGTCTGTATAATAGAGGTTAGTTCCCATTCCATTCACTTAAGTGACAAATTACGAATTTCATCCGGTTAAAAGAAATAATGTCTTTCACAGCTTGGGGCGGAAATAGATCCACCAGACGTTCAAACTTGGCTAGAGGCAATAGATGAATTCCAGAACAGAGTTGGAGAAGACAACGTCGCATTTATTCACGTAGTTCCTCTTCTACATTTGCCCGATGATAACCGCACTATCATTACGAAACCAGCTTTCGATAGTCACCGATCTATTATTACCAATGGCAGCACACCCGACATGGTATTCATTTATAATGGGGATCAATAGGTCGTGATCTCACATTCTAAGACTTTTCTTTTTGCATAGATTGCGTGTGTCTGCTCAAACGCTCTGACCGACGAGATAAAAGAGAAAATATGTTTTCAACCAACAGAGGTCGGAATACTGCAATTTTATTATTTCCAAGCTGATGATTATACCAAGATAAATACTTTCGACTTTTTTAGGTTATTGCAATTAACCGCGTACCAACAAGTTACCATTTCCCGATGTTGCTTCAACGGCAGAAGGTTGCAGAATTTTTAGCAAATAAATTGAAACTTGATAATATTCAAGTTTCCGAAGAACAAAAAAGAAGTGGTGAACAAGTTATACAAGCATGGAAACGACTTATTGCAAGGTATGTCATTTGTTTGATCCAATGTATGTTTATTAATTGGAAAGTACAGGCATTCACACACACACACACACACACACACACACACACACACACACACACACACACACACACACACACACACACACGTACATACATATCTACATACATGTGTGCTATACTTTGTTTAATAGCTATGACAATAGTTCACAAACGGTGACAATCGCTCTGGTCAGTAAATATCAACAAAACCTTCATATATCCGTAAACCAATCGCTTGAGCATGCTTGTGTATATTGCGGATATCAATTGGCCATAAAGGTAAGCACCCTTCCGTTTCTTGCATTGACGTCAAACTTTGTTCCATTCTCATCCCATTAACCATCAACGTTGAACTTCAAATATAGTGGATAGATGGAAGCGATCTCGAGCCTGAAGCAGAAACTGCATTCCCAACAAGATACCGTGACGCGTGGGATTCCCTTGCGAATGCAAACGGGGTAATAGTTCCCGACGGTTTTGCTCACCAAGATATCGAGGGTACCATAGCTGCCGTACGATACGCTAGAGAGCATGGTGTGCCGTTTTTAGGTATCGGATTAGGCTTCCAAGCTGCCGTCTTAGAATTTGCACGCAATGTGTGTAAAACTGCAGGTGAGTGTGTGTGTCTCTGTTGCAGAGCCTTTACGTACTGGTTGCACGAGACTAACTAGGCGCGTTCACGTCTATTTTAAGAAATTGATTCAAGTTCACAACAGAGCGTATTTGTGATTGATAAGAATACAGCCTGTGTGCAGAGTATTTTGTTTTGTAATGAACATGAGGGGTTAAAGTCCAGTGAGTATCTTTTCATGCGACTATATGTCATACAGAGCGTACTCGAATAATTGCTGGACTTGCATTTTCAATCTATAGGAGAAGTCTACAGGAGTCGGCAAATCACAGAGCGTTACCTTAAGCAGTACAAGATAGACTCACCGGGATTTCTACAAACAATAGAGGAGAATGGTATGTTCGTTGTAGCCGGTGATGAATCTAAAACGCGTGTGGATATAGTTGAACTTAAAGGTAATACTTTAGTTTCTTTTCTCGGGCAAACCGCATGTTTTAATTAGTTATCGCGCTTATCTTACGTACTGCTTTCATTTCTGACGTTTGGAAAAAAAAAAGAACATCCATTTTTCATCGGAACACAGTTTCGTCCAGAGTATGCGAGTCAACCACTCCACCCAGCACCCTTGTTTTTAGGGCTTATTTTGGCATCTGCTGGATCATCGGTGTTGAGGTGAGTTTTTCTCCCTAAGATCTGCTTCTTTGCTAAGGATCCGAGTTGAAATTCCACTAGGTGTAAATCGGGGAATTGAAAGCGCCTCATGGCCACAGCTTGCGAAAGTTGCCAGGCAGGTAACCAGGCCTGGCGTACGGCGGGCAGCCTGCTGCGAACGTTCTTTCACCGTTACCGAAAAAGTCTGTGCGCAACAGGCTCTGTGATAGTTCGGAGACTTGGTTATTGTTCTATTGCGCGTCGGGGGGTGGGGTGGGGACAACAATCATGGGTACTTAGTTCACTTTACACGAATCAGGTGACGGAAGAATGTACGATAATAATCAAGGTAAATCTAACTTTTATGTGTGGCCTATGTATCACTTTGCATCAGTCACACTTGTCTTATGGAGAGTGCTGTATCAAAATTTTAGGTACTTTATATTCGAGCACACGGTATAGATACGACTTTAATAAAATAAAGTATCGAAATAATCACATTTATATTCAATATATTAGTGCAGCACCAGGAAAGTAAAGGACGTTTTACAAATGCGAGACACAACCAAATCCATTCCACTCCTCGAATTTCACGTTTAGTAATAAAAGTATGATGTAGAACATGACGAGACGAGAATCATTTTACTATGTATTTGATCCAGATTATGTTTGTCAAGACAAGAAAATCTCTGACTTGTGGCAGAATCAGAACGAAGTCATATCAGAGAAGCCCGACATTTTGATAGAATTGCAGCTTATAGAAGAAATCAAGAATCCAAATCCTCGATTCATTCTTAGGTTACGTAGCTTCTGTCTCTCAGAATTAAGAAATACTTCCCAACTACCAACTTTAATTCCATATTATCAAATACAGCATATCTCCTAAAGAGCAGTTATAAAATTCAGAATAGAGCGTAGTCATTTGCATCGCGTCTGTAGCTTTACGGCTCTAGTGATAACAACTATTGTATCATATACCATGTTATTGTAATAAAATACAGACGAGAGCTACATTCTTTTTGCATTGATACACAAAAAAGTAATTGACAGAATTCTGTGATGCGTGTTATTAATGTCGTGTATGACAAAGCACGTACAGAGGCTGTTAAACTTTCTTGTCACGAGCACAAAACTCGGTTTGGATAACCGTAATTCATCTGAAGTACCTGCAGTCGACGTTCTACTAAATTAATTATTGTGTAAACAGTACGTGGTATCATTGTATTTCTTTTAGGAACGAAACAAGTGATTGCGGGGCTGGCCTAAATAATGCAGTTGCTATTTTAATAAAGTAAAGCGCGTATAAATCTTGAATATGTCATATAAGCGCGGTGGTGTTGTGCAAATGAAGAATACTTCTTCTTTACGTATTAATTGAGAAATAGCTACCAGTAAAACGGTTACAGTCACGCGCCTATTTATTAACGTAAATTTTCACCTGAACTATGGTCTTACTCTTTCTGTGAATTTGTTTCATCTTATTGGCAAATGCGAATATATTCGGTAAAGTGGTATTTTTCCACTAACCTCCTATTACCTTTTTCGTTAATTGTTAATGTAGATCATTTGCGACCGTTTTTATATACTCTTATCTTAAACCCAGGAGGAATAATGTACACATGATCAAGACATTAGCCGGAATTTAACAAAATTTTGTACTATTTTTGTATTTTTTTACTAAACAATACTATGCAATAGTCCCCCCTCTATTAATTATAAATTGTTGACATACTTATTGTAAATCTATTAAGGCAAAAATTATAGTGAGCAGACATTTTATGTGAGTCAATCTATGTTTAAAGACAAGCAATTTTTCATTGTTTTTTCAGAAAAGTAGCATGATCATCAGAGACATGATAATAATTTAAATTAACAATTGGATAAATTTAAACACTAAATTAACTTTTATTATGCTTTAGTATGGTAATCTTGAAAACAATTGGGTCTTGCTTTAGAGCAACAAAGAAGTACATTACATTTAATACACCAAAGTTGAGTTTGAGGTGGATTTTTATGATCGATTTCAATCTTACCCTGCTTAGATAGATATCTACAATACACACATGATTTCCTTGTTTCTCTCCATTCTATAAAATGCCCTCCAGGAATTAAACATGTTACAGGCAAATTATATGTTTCAGTAATATAGATATCTTGAAATTTCTGAGATATGTGTCTCTAGTGTTAGACAAGTCTGATCTAGATTCTTTTACCCACATCTTCCACAGTGCTGTTTATCAGATCCCATGCCAGATCAAGTCTAAATTCTTTGCTTGCAACCTTCTGGTCAGTGGCCTTACAATAAAGCTTAAAGCAATTAACAAGTGTAGTATCTAATAACCAGAAAAACAAGGGAAACCATGTTCTGTGGACTGTTAACTGGCAATTGCAATACCCTCTCAGTTGGTCTGCAATATCCACACTACCCATATAATGATTATAGTCATCAATAATCTTGGGAATCTCTAATGCTTTCCTGGAAAGATTCCCAAAGACTCGACAAACAGTATTTGCATTAGAGCTAGTTTCTCTTGGTCTACAATGTTCACATGTCACAGTCCATTCTTCACCAATATTATGGATTGTAGTTAACATAGTTACTGGGCCATTGTCAATCCATAATATGGCCAAAACATTTTCTACTACCTTTCCTAGCAATGTATTCCAATCCAAATGTTGGTATTTTAATTTGCCAAGTTTTAATTCTGCAGGAAACTTAGCAGAATTTAAACAAACAGTCCCACAGGCTCCATAACCATTATCATACTTGAAAAGTGCAATGCTAGAAAAGTAATTATCCATATGCACATTATAGGATTTAGTTTTAGGAAGCTGGTGTACTAAATGCCATACCAAACACCCAGTATTTGTAAGTCCAGTAATTTGTTCTATTTCTCTATTCTTCTCAATTTGTGATGTGAATGTAAAGGTCCATGTATAACCAGCATCACAAAGTGAAACAATTTGTAGCCCTCTGGTGTTGGTTTATTTTTCATTTGGACTGTGTATACTTCTACCAGAAAATCTTGCAATCATTTCATCAACTGCAACATTTGTACCAGGTACCAGGCACATACAGTTTTTTAAACATATTTCTCAGGTGTGATGCTAATGGTTCAACCTTGGAATACCAAAAGAACTGAGTTTCACCAGGAGGAGAAATGTGAAAGAAGTGCTTAATTTGTTGAAATCTAACCAATGACATAAAATCTTTAATACTATGGATTGGTTTTCTCTCATTGCAATTCCATAGGTCTTCAACTGCATAGATTTTATGTATCCCCATATAGATGATCAGGGCAATCCAAACTTTTAACTCCTTTAATGTAAGAGGACTCCAAGGACGACTATCACTAAATCCTTTTGTTTGCTCATATTTGTTTGTATTCTCAACAATCATTTGTAACTGATTATCAGTAAAAAATAACTGAAAAATTGCAAAAGGAGTAACAGTGCCTAATAGCATTTCATGGGGAAGTGTTGCATAGCTTTTATGAGCTGGTTGACGTTTTTGCATTGGTTCAAATACTGGAAGTGGTAGACTTGCAGTTTGTTGCAATATAACACTTGTGTTTTCCCTTTCTTTACCCTTTCCCCTACCCCTCCCTCTGCCCCTCCCTCTACCTCTAAGTCTTAAACGAGTTGAAATGCTCTCGTGTGTTCCTTCATTCTCCTCTTCCTCCTCTTCCCTATTCTTACACTTTCCCCTTCTCCCTATTCTCCCTCTATTACTCACGTCACCTTCCCTCCTTACAGTTATTTCTTCTGAATCAGTTTGAATAACATGTATTTCTTGTTCACTTTCACCTCTCATGTCTTCGTCTGCAAAAATATCTGTAGCATACATATTTTCGATCATTTCCGCTAACATATTATCGATAAAAATCTCACCGTGATTATTGCGCTCAAATGAGACGGCGTAGTTGGAATCTGATAAAGAAATTTTAGAGCTAATACTAGAGCTAGAGCTAGGGTTAACGTGGGTAGACATTTTGAATAAACTCGGTTTAATAATATGGCAAACAGGTGTGAGTATGCAACGCTTGTAATTAGGGAATATTTTATTAGAAACAGATCGGAGTGAATTCCGCAAGCAAGTGGGAAATCTAGATGATATCTCTGTTACACAATTATTATTTAGGTTTTGTCGATTCAGAAAAACCCCCCTTTTGGGGGGCTTATACTTAATAAAATTTTGCATACTGATGGAAAATTGTCAAAAATCACGATTTTGCAGGCAATTTGCCTGCAAAACAGTTTAAGGGATAAAGATTGAAACATTTGCTATGCTTTGGGCCCACAAAAATAATCGTTCGGAAAACCACATGTTTTGGTTAAATTGGTTAAACAAATTATATTTTACAATAGATTTGATTTATATATCATACATAACAGTATCACGAACCAAATGAATAAGCCATTGCGGAAAGTTAATTGATATGAATATTGCGAACAGTATACCAGTTTAATAGTTATACTTTGTCGTAGTACACGTACATGATTATCATACAGCCAGCTGACAACCAATTTCGTCATTTTCATAAATTCAGATAAACGTGAAAAATAATTTATCTGTTTTAGCTCTTATTACTAATTTTTGGCATACACAATGTACAATAGATTGTATGTCCTATTCGTCTAAACCGTGCGCTTGGCTAATGGTTAACGAATCGATTAATTCCGTCAGCGTTTGATTAAATTTAGGCAAAATGAAAGTTTAGCATGTTAAGTTTTAACATGTCTACTTAATTAGTAAATAATTTTTGCTGTCCCGGCGATTCGAATGTCCATAGATGATTAACTGATTTCGTCATTTACAGCCGTACTTTTTAGACTCGATTCATTAAACGTATTCAGGCTTGCAAATTATAAAGATATTTTCCAATGCTTCTTCAACCCAATTTCCAGATTTCACCATTCTACGTCACCAAAACTTGCATTAGAAATGTCATAACATCTCATACTGTGCGACATATTGATGTGTATAACAATCGTTAGCGTAAAGTGCATCTCCTGCTTTCATTTGATGTTTGAGTTCTTCATTTCCTAAAATTGATTTCGCGCTAACCTTCAAATACCCATTTCCGTAATTTTAATGTAGATATTACCCGACCGTTTTTATCTATATACTATATTAATAATGCATAACGGTAATGCATAACGACTGGCATGACCTCCCCCATCCTACCTCCCAAGGAATGGCCAGTGCTTTTATAAACTTTTTGAATTTAAATAAATAAAAAAATAAAATAATAATTTGCAGTTTATGAAAAAGAAAAAATCGTTGACTCTGCTACTATATTTGTTCATGCTTATCAATTCTTAACAAGATTTTGGTCGCTTCGTAACTTTGAAAATGCCTATCCTTCTGCTTATTGTCGTGCCGTGATGACTTATCATTATAACTAACACTCTACTTGTATTTCTATGTTGCTATTTCATTGCTATCACAAAAAATCTGTTTATGCGACCTTAGAAAAATGGGTATACCCCATCAAATTTCCACGTGCGTGTGTGTCTTCCCTTATTACCCATAAAAACGTACTCCCGCCCATTGCTTTATTTAATTACACGTAATCAGATTGCATTTGTTATATTTCATTCGTGTTCGTAGATAAACAAACGAACCCATCTAGTCCATCATCCATATATCAATTTTTACCGCTTGATTGTTCCAGCATCGAGATGTCGTTCTGGCCTCCATTTGTTTGCTTAATTTGTATTGGATCCATCTGTCTTTTTCTTCTGGCCCCATTTGATTTGCTTAATCCCCGATCTGTCTTTTCCTTCTCGATTTTTCTTTAGACACATAATTAGTGAGCTTTGTTTACACACACACTCGCACAGACGTAATTAACATTAGTCGTTTTAATCTTAGTGTGTGTTATGCACATTTAAATTCCGTTCATACTTCATTTGGTTACACAAATCAGATTGCACTGTGATCCCAAATTCTTTATTTGCTATATTTCGTATTCATAGAACACATCTAGTCCGTTATCCATATATCAATTTTTACCTATTTGCTTAATTTGTATTGGATCCATCTGTCTTTTCCTTCAGGCTCAATTAATTTGTATTGTCTCGATCTATCTTTTCCTTCTCGATTTTCCTTTAGACACATAATTAGTAAGCTTTGTTTACACACACACTCGCGTAATTAACATTGTAATTGGTTATGCACATTTAAATTAAACTTTTCGAACTTACCCTATTTGTTACGCACACGTGAACCTTTTTCCTTTACGCTTATATATAGACGCTTCCTCTCTATTCGTACACTCCTGTTAATACTTTCCTTCTCCTAATAACCATAACTTAATCTCCTTTCCATTACAAAATTCTTGATATATACACTGTTGATTCTTTTCAAACTGATGAATCAGTTTTCCATAGTACTGATACTTCCTGGCGTACACACAATCATTGCTCCGTTTTTCTACATATCCCTTCCGACGCTCTACGAAAAACTTACGCAAACTTTATGAAGAAGAATATGCGCAGTTCCCCGCTCTTACTGTTCACGTCTATTATATCCACACACCGTCAAATGGGTAGTTAAAAATGACAACTACACCTATCCTTTTACAATCAAGTTTTCCACAATTAAAATATTGTTATTGTCGTCTTTCTCAAGTTCGCCTCTGAACCGATACATATTCGATTCGATGTATACGTGCCGAAAGATAAACCAGACTGGCGGGCAACAATAACTTTTGCATTAGATGACATACTCGAACTAGCCGGCACGATAACGTCGCTACATGATAATTACTGACTGTAAATAATTAGCATATGACAGCTATTCCTTTTCTAACACATTATTATTAATCTATACCTTGTCCACTTACTTTCTCCAGATTAACCCATTCAAGTGCCATGTCACTGCGTATAATTCATCCAATATACCACACAACACGTATGCGGATCCGCACAATCGCCAGCCCAAGTGCGAAACAATATCCCTCTCGTACCTCACAATACAGTGGATCAAACTTAAATATAGCAGACTTTGATATTATAGCGTACCACGAATCCTCCAAGAAAATCTACATGAGAGAACAAAGAAGGAAAAAGTAGGATCTCGGGTATCGCTGGTAGGAGAGTTGGACATGCTTTCTTTGTATTTTCTCTAGACTTTGTTGGCAAACTTTTCATTAATAGCGGCGCTCTGATGCGTTTGTGTTACTCTCGATTGAGTTTTCCAAATAGCAAAAGGATAGCTAGAGTAAATCAATCAACGGAAATCCTGTCTGTCGATATTGTATTATCTATATTAATAATAAACAAACAAAGAACTACCGTCCTTACCACATACTCACCTACATATAAGGCCTCCCAATAAATGAATAACATAATAAAAATTAAAGCAACGAAAATGTTCTTATAAGATAAAGCCATAATTTAAAAGCCCAGTTCGACTATGTCTAAATAATCATATTATATTACTTACTCTAAAATATTCTTTGTTTATGTATACAAATAATCTCGCTCATAGATTAATAACACAAACTACTGTCACTCTTCATGTATTTCCTTTTAAAAATTAAATTATTAACAAATTCTCAATTACTAGAACGGGGAGGGGGCGAAGCCCCCCAAAAAACCCCCTACATAGTTCACAAAGATAAAGAAGGAGATGACGGAATCTAAACATAGAAGAGAACTTTTAGAAACTATGGATCAAATACATATGTCTACTAACATAATAATTACACCACAAGTAAATATTTTGTTCAACTAATAATTACACCACAAGTAAATATTTTGTTCAACTAATAATTACACCACAAGTAAATATTTTGTTCAACTAATAATTCCACTTTCACACGATATACAAGGTCAATCCGATAAACCGAAGATGTCGGTGCAGCAATTTTTCTTCGGATTAGCGGGGTTGCTCTATAAACCGAAGTGTATATTCGGGGAAACCATACGTTCGGATAAACGGGGTAAGTGCTCAAATTATATATCGTAAACACTACTCTTTATTTGCTTATAACATAAGCTTACTACATTAACGTTAACAGCTTGTGAAATAACTGCTTATTTGAGATTAAACCTTAAAGTCAGAGATTGATTGACGTATTTTTTTTTACATTGATTTAACTCATACAGTATATAAAATTCTCGCTAAGGATCTCTCTTTGTTCTAGGAAAGTTATTCATAGACAAATATAATTAGTCGAAATATGCGGTTTATCGAGGTCAATATTCGGTTTACAAAGGAGACGATATTATTGGCTTAAATAAATTGTTACGTCATTTTATTCGGATTATCGGGGAAATTTTGATATGTTTGTTTCAGAAAACCTTCGGTTTACGGTTTATGGAAGTCTAATAGTGATAGTAACTTCGATTTGTCGGGATAATTTTATATTTAATAGTAATAGGTTAAAGTGCGGATTTCAAAAAAGGTTCGGTCTTGTAAGCACACAACTATATATGTCGTCACAGTCCCTAAAAACTGTACATGAAATGAAATTATATAAAAAGTGCTTGCTACATATATTATACTTCTCCGTCAAACCTGCCCATCTAACTTTACCCACTCTTTCCTCAACATATTCCAGTATTCAACACAGACAATATCCACCGTAGCTGTGCCCAATAAAGGACCCACCAAATCAACACAGACAATATATGTTTCCGCACCAAAAAACTCCCCATAAACTTTTCGTATCCCCTAATGATTTTACCAATGCTACAGTCAACTGCCTTTAATTCGACCGCCCCCAAAATTTCTATTAAGCCAGCATGTATATAACTACGCCCGTTAATACGATCGTTAGAAAATCACTTCCATTTATGTATTAGTTGATTAATTTCTTCCGATTATTCGACCGTTTACATTAATTTCTAATGCAAATTTTGGTGACGTAAGGAGATAGAGTGGTGAAATCAGGAAGAAGCATAATCTATCGATTGATTGTTTTATGGAAAACATCTTCATAATTTGCAAGCCTGAATACGTTTAATGAATCGAGTCTCATCTGGCCAAAAATTACGACTTTATACCCCCGCAAATGACGAAATCAGTTAATCGTCTGCACCAGTTTGTTTGTATGTAATGGCATTCGTATCGCCGGGACAACAAAAATTATTTACTAATTAAGTAGGCATGTTAAAACTTAACATACTAAACTTCATTTTGCCTAAATTTAATCAAACGCTGACGGAATTAATCGATTATTAATCAATTCGTTAACCATTAGCTAAGCGCACGGTATTGACGAATAGAACATACAATCTATTGTACGTTGTGTATGCCAAAAATTAGTAATAAGAGCTAAACAGATAAATTATTTTTCATGATTATCTGAATTTGGTCTCAACTTATGAAAATGATGAAATTGGTTGTCAGCTGGCTGTATGGTAATCATGTCTTACGACAAAGTTAGAGACTGTATAACTATTAAACCGGTATACTGTTCGCAATACTCGTATCAATAGTATATCAATCTGCAACTTTTGGAGATCAACCGATGAATAGAATACGGGGTGGGGAATTAGAATTGTTATCATTCGTCTCTTATCGTCGAAATTATTTTTTGGAAGGACAACAAAAGAAACGTTTCTGTAACTGAGTGCGCACTCTTTTAACGCACATTCTGCATAACGCAAACTAGTTTTATTTGCCTGTAGATTTGTATAACCATAAGAAACATATTGTGTAACGGAACCTGCAGACTCAATTATTGACATTTACCTAACTGTAGTTAAACCTACAAAATGTCGCAACAACCTTTTCAAGCCTGGCAGAGCCAACAATGGAACTATCAAGAAGAACCGATGCAACAACAGCAGCATCAGCACCACCACACGTTGCTTAATCCTGCCGCATCCACGACTCATCAACCAATGCAGCAGGAATACATGTATGACTCAAATCAGTATTTGTTATATCAAGATTTGCTGATGAACTCACAAAACGAATTGGAAGCAGGACAACAATCTCGACAAGACCAATCATTGCTCAGTCTTTCACAATTAACCACTGATATGTTTACTTCTAGTGGTCTGCCAACGTATTTTATTTCGCAATTGACAAACGAACAACAAATGCCGACATATGTAGACAATTCGATTCTGCCTGAATTGCAACCGAATGGCGCTCTGTTCCCGCAGCAAAACCTATTTACGTTTCACCAACAACATCAACAACAATGGTTGTCGCAGTTTCAGTATGCGGGGCAGCATGAAGAACAGAAACCGAACGAAGTCATCATGCCAATGCAATCTGAACATGAACTGAGCCGACAAAACTCGGTTCAAGACATGCTTGGAGTTCTTCCGATTGA